CTTTCAGCTCCGCCTCCCGGCTGGCGTTTTGAAGGCGGAGGGCGTCTTGCGCCTCAATCATCGTGGTGGTAGCGATGAGGGCGGCCGCTCGCTCCTCCTCCACCTCACGAGCGATCTCCGTCAGCGCCGCCTTCCGGGCTTCAAGCTCCGAGACGTGACGGCGGTGAGCTTTACGGCCCACCTCCACCATGGCGTCCACCGAGCGCCGCCCCTCCTCAACGCGTGCCCATGCGGCCTCGAGCTCCGCTCGTTCCGCGCGCAGGGCCTCCACTTGGGCGCTGAACCCATCTAGCACCGCGGTGTTTGCGGCGGCCAAGGCCTGCAGAATGGGCTCGGCGCTCAGCGGGGCGACGGAAGATGAGGAGAAGAGCCGCCTTGGAGAGAAGGCGATGCGGCTCGGCCCCCCGGAGGACGTGCTGGGCTCGGGGATGTCCCCCGAACCCGTTTGATCCTGGGCGTCGCCCGGGGAGGTGGGCCCAGGCGATGTGCCCGCGGCCTCGTCGCGAGCCTCCCCGGAGGCTGTCGCCTGAGGGTTGCCCGAAGGAGTGGGCCCAGTTGACGCGCCAGCAGCAGCTGTTGCCTCAGCCTGGCGAGCCCGGGCGGCCTCCTCCTTAGCGGCTTCCTCAGCCCGGGCGGCCTCCTCCCGAGCAGCTTCCTCCGCTTGGCGAATCCGGGCGGCCTCCCGGGCGGCCTCTTCAGCTTCCCGAAGGCGGTCTGCGGCTTCACGCCGGTCAGATTCTCGCCTCCGCTCCTCTGCGGCCGCAGGATCTTCGGCCTCGGACTGGCCGGACTTGGGGTGGCGGGAGGAATGCGACGGGACATCGCTGAAGCAGAAGAAAAAACCAGAAAACGAACAAAATGAGTAAGAAAAAACTTCCTTTTGGGAGAAAGATGGTTGCAATGAGAGTGAGACGAACCTGCGAAGGGGTCGGTTGAATGACCACCTTGGAGGGGAAATCAGGTTTCCCCGGCATGGTTCCGTCTCCCCCGTCTTGCGGAGCCGTTTCTTCTTGCGCTCCCCCTCGGGCTGCGACGTCGGCGCGGCCCCCTCCGGGCGCCGACTGCTGGCACGCGCCGCCCCGCCCCCTCGGGGAGGAGATGGGGGAGGTGTTCCTCCCAGCTTCCTCTTCCCCTGGGCGTCGGCAGGGCGGCTGCTCCCCGAGCCCCCGACGCAGGGCCCAGAAGCACGACCCCCTCCTGGGGCAGATTGTTCCCCCCGGCGGCGCTCGCCCGCGCCGTCGTGGCCCTTAGGGGCTCTCTCCTCTGAGGCCCCGACCCCCATCATAATGGTTAGAATGGAGGCGCGGTCGGGATCGCTGCAGAGGGGGAGGATCTCCTGAGGAATGCGAGACGCCTCCACGGAGCTAAGATTCAGCACCCTTTGGACCACGATCTTGAAGTCCTCGGGAGCCCAATCCCATCTGGCTCCCTGGTGGGTCCGCATGTAGTCTTCAGGCCCAGTGTACTCCCAGGCGCTCCGGGCGCGCCGTTGGAGCGGCGCAATCCGGCGACGGAGGTAATCGCCGTACACCATGGCCCCGGTGAGCCCCTGGGATCGCAGGCCCGCCAGGCGGTCGAGGACGGCGTCGTAGTCCTCCCCCAGATCTACCGGCGCCCGCCAGCTGGAGACCTGCGCCGGGGCCTGGCTTGGAAGTCGGAGGCGCGCTTCGTTGGCGAGGGGGGTGTAGAACCAGTCGCTCTTCCAGTCGTCCCACTTCTTGCGGAGGACGCAAGGGATGTAGCGGTTCAACACCGGCCCCCGCGGCTGGAAGTAGCAGCCGCCAACCACCGACGGCGGTGACACCGACTGCACGGTGAAGAACCACCGGAACAGCTGAAGAGAAGGGCGCACCCCAATGAACATCTCGCACAGGTGCGCGAAGATGGCCAATGTCATCACCGCATTGGGGGTGAGGTGCGCCATCTGGAGATCGTAGAACTCCAGGACATCCATGAAGAAAGAAGAAAATGGTGGGACCAGCCCAGCCATTGCGAAGGGGAGGAAGAAGATGGACCGCCCCGGGTAGTCTGGTGCCGGGCGCCCCTCGCCCAGCATCACTATCTCCCGACCGGTGGCGGACTCCGGCATGAAGCGGCGCGGCAGTCCGGCGTGCCTCTCGCTCACGATGCGGGAAGGCGGTAGTACACTGCCGTCGAGCAGAGCAGAGCCCCGTGCCATGGCGGTGGAGGAAGAGATGATTGAGAACGAGCGCGTGTGGCGAAAGTAGGGCGTAGCAGAGAAAGAGTTAGAGCTCAGGCGGCGAAGGCAAGAGGAACAACGGCGAAAGGAAGGAAGCAAATCCTTTTCTCGATGCTTTTATACCCTTGCCATCGCTGGGCCTGGCTCCTCGTTTCTCGCGCCCACTACCTCGCTCCCTCGTATCTCGCTATCTCGCTCCCTCGTTTCCCGTGCCCACGCTTCCACTAATCCCATTCGCCCGCTTACGGCGCATGAAGTGGATATGCGTTTGTGGCAATCGAAATGGATTGTATCGTGCGCGCGTTAATTACGCTCGCCGACCGAAGCGGCGTTACCGTATCTCCGGGCGAGACCAATCTGCTCACCCAGATTCGCGCGCTGCTCAAGTGGTGTGGCAGTCTTGAATAGACCGCCCATTATGGACAACCAAAGTTACCAATACCAATGTGCATGGATTGAGACCGTTGGGTATTGTGCCCAACTACGGAGACCGGTCCCACCTGTCACCAGGCTTTAGGGGTGGCGTCACACCTGACCGCTTCCCTTGAGAAGGGAAATTGCTCTGGCATAACGCCGGGGGCTACTGTCGGTGATATGGGACCGGGAGTATCATGACCAGAGGCTTGAGGCAGACGCAATCGCCCACGTGGCCTGGCACCTTCGGGAACGTCGGGCCCGAGGGTGAGGTGTCCGCCCTCCTCCTGATTTCCCCCGAGGTTGCGCTTGCCCCGGCCCCGAGGGCCGAGGCACCCCGACCCCTTAAGGAAGTTTGCGCCACATATATGGGATAAGTGAGCACAGCTGTGCTCACCTAACAGCATTTATTGCAGTCTGGTCAAGCGTGTCACGCTGCATGCAACGCAGTACAGCGCGTTCCTTTATCCGGTCTGTGACCAGTCACAGACCGGTCAGATCACGGGTTAGGTGGCGGCTGGCGGTCTGACGCACGCCTTGCCCCATCCCGTCAAGACGAAAGCCTCTAGGCACTCGTCTCAAGCCGGAGCTAGCGTGTTATCTCTTAGAGATGGCACGTTAGCCCTGGTCAGATTTATACCAGGCTTCATCCTAACCATTACAGGCAAGGTGTTACACGAAGAAGGGCAAACATGCACGTTGTTAAGCTGACGCGTGGTGGACAAGAATGACCGGTCTGGCACTGGTCGCGTCATCGACAGACAGCTACGGTCCCGCGTCATCTCTGTCTTCGGGGGAGGTGGGGGTAGGTGTGGGATGTCCCATCAGAAGGGCTCCCGGATGGAAACCGTACCGATCTCCGCCCATTAAAGAGAAAAAGAACAGTCCAGTTTGGAAAGAGAAAGGGGCATGTGGTATCCCCTTGAGATATAAAAGGAGGACCTTGCCCATTTAGAGAGGGGACTTTTTTCCCTTTTGGAAGGCGGAGGGGAAAGGAAGTGAATCCTTTGTAACTTGTCCATACACAAATCCACAAAAACACAGGAGTAGGGTATTACGCTTGGCAGCGGCCCGAACCTGTATACATCGCCGTGTCTCGTGTGTCTTGCGGGGGGGTGATCTTTCCACATACAGAGAGAGAGAGAGAGCTTGAGATCTCACCCTAAGCCCCCGGCCGAACTGGCAAAGGGGGGCCTGCGCGGTCTCCCGGTGAGGGGCCACGAGCTCCGTCAACGGTGAATCTGGTCGACCGCCTATAACCGCGGGCACATCTATTCGAACAGTTTTACTCTAATCAGAGGTATACAACTGTACCCACAAGACACAGCCCCACGACATGTATCTGTGCGCCGACATGCCACCACGACATACCGGAAAGAGGTCGTGATAGGACCCTTCGCATAACCCCCTCTAACCGATCGCACCACACCTCAAGGTTCGCCCCCGTCCCCAGCAGGCAACGGGCAGCCCCCCTCTCGTGCCACAGTGAATCCGGAAGCCGATCAACCGAACACCCCGGCCGACCCAACTCCATCATACCCACCCTAACCTGGGTATGTCGGCTAGAGGAAAGCTACACTACAAGCCCAGCCGTTGCCCACGCTGGCTTATGGTAAGTACGATAAGTTCTTCCAGGGCATCTCGCGAACCGGTCCTTAATCGTCATGGGCACGATTAGCAAAACCATGCACCCACAGCCCACCATGTAGTGTATTTTAATTAGCTAACACCATTGCGGTGGTACTATTCCAAAGCTATACCAATAATCAAAGTCTATGCATTAATGTGATTCCCCCTTTGTGTACTAGTTGAACTAAGCATGGCTAAGCATTCCCTAAACCAACATCTAATCATTTTAATACCCAAGTTATCAATGGCATCAGGTAAACAATATATGGCTGAGTAGTAGGACCCATCCCATATGATATTGTAAAACAATGCAACATTTAATAGAAATGCGGGACATTTGTAAGGTGGGTACAATATGATCAATTGTAATGCATGATTTACCTTGCTCTTGCACTGATGAGGTCTCAGCAACGTCTTCGAGAAACCGCGGATCGACAAAACAACCGAAATCTACGCGACAACCAAAGCACACAAGCAAAACATGCTATAAGACTACTGAAACAGGAAACAACACCATTTTTAATGGATTCTATGCATTTTTTATGAATTTACTGAGACTTGAATGGACTTAAACGGAGCTCGGATGAATCAAAAGTAGTGAAATTATTAAAGTTTCTCAAAACAACATTGAGCCACGTCATCAACAAAATATGGACCGTCCGATTCCTATTCAGAAAGTTTCAGGCCGTTAGATCCTAGATCGGCGAAATATCTTCTTATTCCTTCTAGAAATTTCTTTCACAACGAGGTCCTTCCACGTCCCTGCGGTAAAAAAAGAAGAAGAAAGAACGCGACTCTTCTCGTCTTCACGCCGCCTCCGCTCCTGAGGCCCAGCCGCCGCGCGCCGCCTCTTCTCCCAAGCCGCCGCTACCTCCCCCTCTAGTCCTCTCTGTCTCCATTGCCGGCGTTACTCATCCCCTCATCACCGCGGCTCCATCCCACCCCTGCCGCCGCCGTATACCCCACCGGCACCGGCGCATCACATCCACCTCTAATCTCCCGCTACCCTGAAGAAGGGGGGAAAGGGTTGACAGATGAATAGCGATGGCGAGGAGGAGGGTATCCGCAGGAGCTGCGTCCACACCTATTCACCAAATCGGTATCCAGGGCAGAACAACCAAGGTCACTCTCTTCTCTATTCCTCATTCTCTGTTTCCTTCTCTATCTTCCTTTCTTGACTGTTGATTGGATGTTAGCCTTTCAAATACTACTATATTGATTTGTATTATATGTATGCACCTTATGAATTCCAATATTAATTATCTTTATTAGGCTTTATTTCATAAGCCCAAAAATCGTATCAATTTAGGCTCCATGATTGGCTATAATTACAATTGAGAAAATCAAGTTTGGGACAACTGAGTAGAACTGCAAGTATCAGCAAATAAAAATATTTTGTAGAATGTAGATCTGTTTACCTATACTCAAAGTAAATGATTCTCTAAGGTATCGCACAACAGATGATGAAGTGTATCTAAATGTTTCATGAATCACAAACAAATACACCAAAAGAAAAATCCCAGCTTTAGCTTCAGAGGGACCAGACAAATTAGAGACTCATGTAAATCGATTATAGTTAGTATTAATTTACAGATGCATATACTGTACAGCTCAAGTCACCAATGCTTAATTACACTAATAATCTATTCATGGAGAGTGGATTACTATCTTCATTTATGACTGACTTAGAAAAATATTTGCTCATGGAAAGGATTTCAGCAGTTTACATAAGGGCTGCAATAATGTATACACTTCTATCTTGCTAAATTGTGTGCACTACTATTAAAAAGGATAATTATTCGGGTACCAGCTTTAGTTGGTATAGCCTTCCTGATTCCTATTATTTAATTTTTTTCTAGAAGTTATTTATATCGCTGCTACTGAAGACATCTCGACTGAAATTATTTTTCCCTGCGCCTGCAACAGTAGAAAGTTCAGTAGCACATGTTGATTTAGGGATAACCCTAACTGTTTAAACAAAAAAGGTTAACTCACACAAGATGTAGTTTTGGCCAACATCGGCCCGTATTAGGATGCTTCATTCTGATCCTATTTTATTTTGCATCAGCAGGCACTGCACGGCTGCAGCGTTGTAATTAAATCATCGACATCAGTGGTGGGGCCTTATGCTTGGGTACGCAGCGGAGGAGGGAGAAATAAATTATCTGTACAGACCATCGGTAAGTAATATTTACACCTATCCTTATTTTTCCAAGTGCCAGTAAAATGTCTTAGACTACTTGATCAAGCATAGAATTGAGCTATAAGAGCAATGAGTTTCAATGATATTTTGTGTGTGTGTAGAAGTGTGAATGATGTGTCGACAGGAAGAATGGGTTCTCGTTTAAAATTAAACAAGGCATATTTACAAGAAAGAATTATAATACGTTAATTGCTAGCTTTGTGATTATGCACCACCCATAAATCTTGCTTAGAAGTTTAATTAACGGTATTATGGTAATTTCCACGAACCCGTAGATTCTTTACTGTCCTAATAGGCCTAGGTGCATTTCTTATCAATCCAAAGGCAATACCATGCATACTGCTATTGGAATATTTGGCAGAGCTTTAGATATTGGATTATCATATGACACCTATCTATATCTGTAATACTGTAGTACTCCATACTCATTAATCATTGTACAAATTGAGGAGCATATCTTTCTATCATTTTTACATGAGACTATGTCCTTACTGGTCCTTCTCATATGAGATTAGCTCATAAGAATTTCATACTTTTTGTTTTTGTGGGTGAATACCAACGTGCATTTGGTGGAAGAACATAAATCAACTGGTCCTGCTAATCTATGATTTGCTCTTAAAAAGATTATATTTTTTATGTTTCCAGGTGAATACCACGGTACCACCATGCATTTGGTGGAAGAACACAAAGCTACTACATTTGTTTTTGTTATTTTATTAGATTTGGGATCAAATTTTTTGTGGGCATGTACATTATAATGTACTACTACGCATCACAATATAAATGCTTAGGATCAAGTTGTTACTCAGGGGTCTTGGCCACGTAGATGATTGTGTTTGTGTATGGGTGGATGCCATTGACACAGGTTCTTAAACATGTATTTAGAGTTGCGCAAAGCGCAACCATGTGGCTAGTTAGTTATGAATTTAAGAAGATTATTTGTGTTTTTACTATAAAAGAAAAAAGTCATTAATTATTTATTGTGCAATATTGCCTAGGGCTGACGTCAGCGGGGGGGGGGTGGCTGGTGGGTCCCACTGGCAGCGGCTCCAAAAGAGGGGAGGAGGCGCCTGGCGGGTGGGTCCCACCAGGCGGTGGCTCAAAGGGGAGGGGAGGGAGGTGCCGGCCGGGCTCGGCTCGGCCTCAAGGCCGACTGGCCGGTTATGGCGAGGGCGGCGGCGGCGAGCGGTCGCCGGCGATGGCAACCGGCGGCGCGGGTGGCAGCGGCGTCGGCCGAAGGCGACGGCGCACGGGCGAAGCAGCGGCGCGGCCCGGCGCTAGGGGGGAGAGGGAGGAGAAACGAGCAGGAGGGAGCGCCTCACCGTGAGTTGGCCGGAGTGGGGAAAGACGACGGCGAACACCGGCGGCAAGCGGCGGACGGCGGGGTGCGCGGGATGGACGAGGCGGCCCTCGGACCCACGAGGCCAACGGCGGCAACAAAGCGGCGCGGCAATGGCACTATCGACGGCTAGTGGCGGTTGGAGGCGGCAGTAGGCGGCAACTGAGTGGCGGCCGAGGTAGCCCTTGTGTCGGCGGAGCTAGAGGCGGCGGCAGGTGGCGTGGCGACGGCGCGCGGCCGGAGTGCAGTGGCAGGCGGCGGCGCAAGGGGCGAGCGGCGCGGGCGCGGTGGAGAGCACGGGAGAAGGCGGCGAGTAGGGGAAACGAGAGAGGGAGCTCGGGGAAGGCGTTTTATAGCCGAGTGAGAAGCGGGCGAGGCCGGGAGGTGGCCGGATTTGGAGGAGTGGCGCCGGCGACGTGGGGTGGAGAGAGAGAGAGAGGGGCGGATTCAAAATCGAATCCCGCCCTCTCGGGCGCGCGCGCGGAGGCGGTAAGGCGTGGGGAAGGTGGGTGGCGACGTGGGCGCGGAGCATGGGCGGAGTGGGGCACGGGAAGCGGGGAAAGCGGCGGTGTGGGCGGCGGTTGCCAGCTTGGGCGCGGGCGGCTGGAGGTAGGGGATGACCGACAGGTGGGCCCCACCTGTCGGCACCCTAGAGAAAGGGGAGGGGAGTTGGGCCGGCCCAGCAAGGAGGGAGAGGTGCGGGAGAAAGGATGGGCCGACAGCCCAAGAAGAGGGAAAAAGGAGGAAAAGAAAAAGAGAAAAAGAAAACGGATTTCCTAGGATTAAATATTGCACATGCTCATTTTTAATTGGTTAAAATTATTTCCAAGGCTTTAAAAATTCCACTAAAAATTCTGTTAATATATTTGAGCATGGGGAACTCAAAAAAAATTCCACCACGCCGAATTCGATTATTAAATGTATTTATTAATTAAGGATTCAACTCTAGGTTAATTTGAAGCAACTTCTTTAGGCGATTTATTTTATGAATTTAAAGCAAGGGAGGTGGAACTTCAGGGCGTGACACCGCGGCGACGTCAAAGGAGGAGGAACCGATGGCCTGGTCGGCGCGCGCAAGGAGAGGAGCAACCGGCAGCCGTCGGCGTCTCGGCGCACGCAAGGAGGAGGAGGCGGCGGCTCTGGGCACTAATCCTCTCCTTTCGTTCCCCCTAGACGCCGGCGGCGGAAGAGGAGCCGACGGCCGCGGGGGCACAGACAGCACCAGCCGCTCCCCTCCCAGATCTGAGAAGGGAGCCAGCCGGCAGTGGCGGCAAAGGCGGCGCTCCCCTCGCCCTCGGGCAGCGGCGCCGGACAGAGGTGGAGAGCCGTCGGTCAGAGGGGGATGCTGGCGCCGGCGGCGTCACCTGCGGGTAGCGCCGGATTTTTTTTTTGTTCCCTAAAATTATTTTCGCAGGTGGGTCGCGGACCCGCCTGCAAAAATCACCTATTTTCACAGGCAATTGGATAGCGGCGGTTGTCTCCCCCGCCTGCGATAACTGTTTTTGACTGCCTCTAAAAACTATTTTTCTAGTAGTGTGCGCTACATAAAATACTGTGCGAGGCTGCAGCATCGTAGCCCCCTGTAGTGCAGCCGAACAGGCCCAGTATTACTTTAGTATAACACCTGGAGATACAATAAATGATGTTCACAACTATACACATGGATGCTCTTTTTAATGAGAGTTTAGCTATATTTATGGATTTGTTATTGGAATCGGCCTCTTTATCGTGTGTTAAAAAAAGAGGGTGCACTAGCTCTCACTGTTATATGAGTGTGCATATGCATAGTGGTGTACATGATTGTACGTATATATTCTAAATAATGAAAGAATTAACAGCAAAAATTAAATGATACATGATAATACCGTGGTGTCTTAAAAATTACTCAAGGTTTGAAATTTGCCCTTTCGACAGCTTATGTTCAATCTTGGTTTGAAATTTGCCCTTTCGACAGCTTATGTTCAATCTTGGATATATGTCGAATGGGTAAATTTTAAACCTCTAGCAATTTTTAAGACCCTCGCCATGACAAACAACAACCAAAAAAAAAAAAACTAAGGTTAAGAATTTTACTAACTTCTAGTAGCTGATTACGTTAGATCTAGTGCACCTCCCATTGGCGTATCTTTCATCTTTCTTAACAACTATAGCCTATAACTAATATAGGCACTAATTATCATTATCGGCTATTTCTTTTGTGACAAAAAGGTTTAATTTTCGAGGAATTTTGGTTTATGGTGAAGGGTGCCTGAATGCTGGCATTGTGCGAACAACACGAGCACAGCGAGACATATCCATCGACGGTATACGCGTGCGTCGGGAGGAGCCCTCCTCGCTGGAGCTCCTGCACCAGCGTGCCACTATGCTTCGGCGGAGGAGGGAGGAGGCCGACTAGTTCGCTGTCTTCATCGGATGGTTGCCCATGAAGAAGAGGCTGGAGATCCAACGACGGGAGAGAAGAAAGAAGCAAGATCTAAACATGCACTACCACAAACTCAACTAGCCCTGACAGCCAGAAACCATCTGGAAAATTTCGTTACAACTTGCTTGTCAGGAAAATTTTAGTTTGCATGACTAGTCTCCATGAGGACGAATATTAATCCTCACAGGTTTGATCGTCACAATGAATTTTTCCGACGTTGTCAACGCCGTTAGGTTCATTAGAATCTCACTAACAATAAAGTCACGTCATAAAAATTAAACTATATTTCACTATTTATATCGTTAGTGTTAAAATTTGAGTTGCCACTCAATAAATGATACCCACTAGGCCACCAATTTTTCTGGTACGTACAAAATTCATATACTAAATACACATTCTCATCTTCAGAGAAATTTGTGATATCGTGACGGTGTTAAAAGCACGTTAGGAAAATAATTTTTTTCTGACAGTTTTACACACACTTCAGAAAAATTTGTTTGCTCTTGACAAGCTAATAGATACACGTCAGAAAAATTTTGGCACTCGGGGCTAATCGTGTTACTGGTAATGATGTACATTTTGTGATTTTTCAATGTCTCCGTCTAATGTATTTCGATATTTCACACGCGATAGAGAAAATGTTTTGGCTAGGGTTAGACGGTATTGCATACATGTTTGAAACATTTCTGAGCTAGTAACGAAACATTTTCCTAAACGTAATAAAACAGCACTTGATTTATTGTTGTGTCTAATTTTTTGTTGTTATCAACAAAACCTACAAATTATGATGTTAAACGATATAATTGTTACTACCTCCGTTTTTTAATATATGACGCTGTTGACTTTTTCTCACATGTTTGACCATTCGTCTTATTCAAAAAATTTACGTAATTATAATTTATTTTGTTATGAGTTGTTTTATCACTTATAGTATTTTAAGTGTGATTTATATCTTATACATTTGCATAAAATTTTTGAATAAAACGAATGGTCAAATATGTGAGAAAAAGTCAACGGCGTCATCTATTAAGAAACGGAGGAGTATTTTTTTAAAAAAATCATTTTACATACCAAAATATTTGCAAAACTATAAAACGATGATAAACTTTGAAACTAGACAATATTTAACCCTAAACTTTCCGACCTACACCTTCCATAAAAATATAAACAATTTCTCAGTTTCAATATTATTTCTATATTCGTAATCAGAATTTGTTTTTAAATGGAGGGAGTAGAAAAAACAGTCAATTAAACCTACAAATTTAACCATAAACTAGCAGCGTGCCCGTGCGTTGCAACGGGGAAAAATCACACTGAGTGAAATGATGGTAAATAATCAATGAGTGTAAATCAACTGTAACAAAATATTTAATATAGAACTAATAATAATTATGTCACATATTTATAATTTTCACATGTTTATAGTATTCACATTTTAGTACCCCATATAACAAAATTGATTAATGGAACGGAACATTAAGAACCTACATATTGATACACTTCATATTTTCACGCAATACTTTGGAAAGATTGTCTATAGTTTCATCTGCTTCTCATTCCTAATGCATCAAATGAAACATAATCCTTTACAAAATTCTACACAATGGTTAAAGTTCTTTGCGAAATTCTACACAATGGTTCTCATTCTATAGCAAAACAAATAACACAATGGTTCCCATGGAAGATAGGGTTGTTGCAGAAGAAGTTTGGTGCTCTACACTTGCTTCAACACCCTCATTTCCTTATAGTGCCAGCTCTGCATTGCCATCAACTAACACATACAACGACTTAATAAGTCAGAGGCTTCATATATTTGTATTTTTTTTCTCCATGCCAATAAACACATCCCAAAAGTTGAGTCCCTGGACAATAAGACAACTTTGAGCTCAAGGTCTAAATGTCAAAGTAATGTTCATGCAAAGCATCTTAAACCGTTAACCTCCTCATTTCTTCAAATTTAAAAACACAATACTCCATACAACTAATACCATTGTCAAATAAACAATTTGTGCTTTCTATTTTAGTAAACATAAAAAGTAGAAACGTTCAGTGCATTCTGAGACCAAGTAAAGAAATATACAACGGTGGTGATGGCTCTGTATACAAGAAAGAAAGAATATGCATAGGGAAGAGGGAACGTAGGAGGAAGAAGAGAAAAGGGGAACGATAATTATATGAGCTTGGAGATTGATTAGTTTATTAGTTGCCATAACAGTACGATTACATCTCCTATATAGACTTGACCCCTTAACAAACTCAAGTTAACTTAATCTTGATTTAACTCAATATATATCTGAACTTAACCTGATTTAACAAGACTTATATCTAAAGTACCACTAACAAGACTTCTCTAAAGTAACATAACAATCCTATTTCTCGACGATCGTTGTTGAGTCTGGCCCTGTGAATCTTCTGACACAACCAACCGTACTGCAACTCGCCCCACAAGACACAAATCAGCTAGTTGCATATGGTATTTTCCAGCTTTTTCCTGACCTTAGCTTGCCAGAATAAAAGGTTTACATTTTTGCACAACAGAAAAGCAAAAGGCACAACAAATGCATGATTCAGCTATTGCAAATCTAAACAAAAGCAACAGTGGAATCTAAGTAAGGAATTCTGCTATACTGAGCAATAGATGACATATAATGTCATGACAACACCTTAGTATTCCCTCCATTTCAGGGTTATAAGATGTTTTGACTTTGGTTAAAGTCCAACTGCTTCAAATTTAACTAAGTTTATAGACAAATATAGTAATATTTACATTATCAAATTAGTTTTATTAAATTAATAATTAAATATATTTTTATAATAAATTTATCTTGGGTTGAAAATATTATTATTTTTTTCTATAAACTTGGTTAAACTTGAAGCAGTTTGACTTTGACCAAAGTCAAAACATCTTATAACCTGAAACAGAAGGAGTACATAGAATCATCAAATTACATGTTGTTCACTAAACACTAACCACTGTCCAAATTTTGAGACAATAAGGGCAAACATAGGGTGCAAAAGAATAATTAATAGTTGAGGAATCATAGTAAATGAAAATTTCGTGATGTATGGAAGAACAGAAATTCCATGATGTATGATCTCGGTTTATGCACTAAGCAATCTCCGGATTCACAAGTAAACAGCAGAAAAGATCACAAACAATATTACAAGACCAAAACCCAACAATAGCAGAAAAGAGCGAACATTGAATCCTAACAGATTAGGACGCAATGCTGAAGGCAGTACTACTAAACAATACCTTAGAAAATCCAGCAACGGATGGTGCCTACAACCACCCAGCGCAGCATGTGCATCTGTCTTGGCTGGACGGATCAGATCAGCGTTAGCAAAGAAATCTTTCTGGCGGACAAAACTGAAAAACCATGCTCGGAAGGTTTACCTTAGTATAAGTAGAAGGGTGAAGGTCCCCTGCAAACGGTACAAAGTGCAAATTTGACATCCCCTGCAACTGATTTTTTTTTTTAGAACTTCCATCTACACTGCAGATGGTAGTATGGTACACAAATTCATATATTTTGCAGAGCAAATTTTCTATCTCAATCTATTTTGAACACATATTGGGCCCTTAATATTGCTCTCACCTGTACAAAGAATCCTCCTTCTAGCATGCACAGGCGCCACTGCATGCCGTCGCCAGCTACTGAGAATCTCGGGACTCCTCTCCTGTTATCACACGCCTCAGCAGCAGCACGATGGCTATAAGTTCAATAGTATAGCCCACTGTTGGCTCTAATTTACCTATAGCTAATCTAATAGCCAATTCATATAATAGTTGCTTACTATACTATTAATATATGGTCTCACATGTAATACACACATCGCGTCTTGGAGTCCGTGCTGCAGCTGGCTACAAATCTGTAGCCCGCTGCTCTTCTCTCTCATCTTTTATTTCATTAAAATACGTGTATAGCTGGCTAATAGCCCGCTATTGTACCTGCTCTAATGGATCTATCAGATAGATCCTTGAGCTCCATTGTCTAGCGGATGACCTAGGCCATCGGTGAATTGGGATGCCCGACGCTAATGACCGGTCAAACCTCTGGCTGCGGTGCACTCCGAATCAAGCTCCACCTGCGAGTGCATATTGTGGAAGGGAGAGCCCGCTTGCGCTTGGCTTCATCGACAGAGTTCCGCACGCGGCAGGATCCAAGGCCCCCGTGGGCGAATAGGCTTGCGACGATGGCGAGGTACGCGGCGAGATGGATATATATGGCGTTGATGATGTGGGTAGGCTGATGGCATTAGGATAAGATGACTCCCGTGGCCGGTGGACTGATAGGCACATGATCAGAAGGGCGCGTCAAATTCAGGTGAGGATTTGGCGAGGCAGAAGGGCCGCGTCGGTGGCGGTAGCAGAATGGGAGAGGCAAGGAATCGCAATCGTGGCAAGGCTGAGGAGATTGCAGTTGGGGGTTGGGGTAGAAGGACGGCGGCGCGATGCGTTGGCAACATCGGGGGCGGGCGTGATGCGTCGGCGGCATTGGGGGCGATTGGGGTGGGCAGAGGGGGCTGCGAGGATGTCGTCGGGGGCGGCCGTTGGCGTGGGCACAGGGAGGAACGATGGACAGCAACAACGATTCAAGGGGCGCAGCGACGAGGCACGGACCGCGATGACAGCGGAGGGGAGCGATGCGGCGCCGAGAGCGAGGGGACCGCAGCGGTAACGGGCAAGGGCAACGGGAGGCAAGATGGACGACGCCCGATCTGGAGGAATCGATGGTGACGGCGACAGCAAATTGAAGGGGGATGCGATGTCGCCGGAGGGGCGGTATGCGGCAATGACACGACGATTACCTGGCGGCAGGTGCGACGGGCGCTGGCAGCACTTGGTCTCACCGAGGACTCCTCTGTGCGGCAGCGGCGGTTGGACGAAGGCAGTGGGGGGAGCGGAAGAGCGGGCGACGGAGGTAGGTGCACGAATAGTGGGGAGTGCGATGCGCTGTTTGTGGGTGGGGTCACAGGCGGATCGAGGGGGAGAAGCGCGATCGTGGTATGGGACTGGGGATCGATCTTAGCAGTTGGATTTGGCGATCTGACAGCTCATGTTTCGCGTGTCTGTCAGGGTTGGAGTCACCACCACCACTACAGAATTTTTAAGTAGTAAAGATAAAGATTTATCACATAACTATATATTGAACGCCAAGTATCACAAATCTCAACAATAATCTAAAGGTCCACAAAGTGAAAATCTTTTGGAGAAAAAACCGTCGACAACTTTACAGCAATTCCGAAAAAATATCCAACCTTATTAACAACCAAGAGATCTAGCCTCTCACTCTATAATGGACTATAATATTATCCCTCTCAATCAAAAAATAAATAATAAAAGAACACCTAAACCCTGATCTGCGCCCGTCTTGGATCGATAGCGCGCGCACGAATCTCGGCGCCTCAGTCCAAGGCGTTGACCACGACGGGGCTCCTGACATGGTGGGTCCCATCCGACCAGACGAGCCTCCCGAAGACGTAGCCCTTGCCGAGCTTGTCCTTCTCCGACTTGAACGTCACCTTGAACTCCTTCACCTCGCCGTCCTTGCCGAACTCCAGCGCCGCCGGCTCCACCGTCATGTTGACCCCGTACGGGGCGCGCCACGTCGCGCGGTACGTCGCCGGCCGGCCGACGCACTTGAGCCGCCGCGCCACCGTCGACGTGTGCCGCAGCGCCGGCACCACGATGGACGGGTAGTTGAGGTCCTCCATCGGCGGGACCTTCTCCGGGCAGGTGAAGTTGCCGGCACTCAGCTTGGCGAGGTCGCTGGAGTTGAACCCCATGGAGCAGAGGAAGACGAAGTAGTCCTCCTTGGAGAGGTCGTAGACGAGGCCCGGGTCGACGGCGCGGTTCGGGTGGATGTTGCCGGCGCCGAACGCGAACGCCGTCGCCTCCCTCCCGTCGTGGTCGCGCATCGGCGCGCCGGTGTTGTCCTGGGTGCGCGCCGTGGTCATGATCGCGGAGCGCATCGCGGCGGGGCTCCACTCCGGGCGCGCCGCCTTGAGGAGCCCGATCACGCCGGAGATGTGCGGGCACGCCATGGACGTGCCGGACAGGATGGCGTACTCCGACCGCCGCTCGTCGTTGGGGACCTCCGTCGGGCTGACGTACTCGGTGAACGCCGCCAGGATGTCCACGCCCGGCGCCGCGATGTCCGGCTTCAGCACGCACGGCAGCGTCCCGCTTGGCCCCCGCGACGAGAAGGCCGCCACCGACGGCGAGTTCTTCACGCCGACCTCCGTCTTGGACGGCGAGATGTTCGCCACGGGGTTCTTGGAGGAGTCCATGTACTTGTACAGCGACATGGCCTCGCTGTAGGTGATCATGGTGGCTGGGAGCACGTGCGGGTCGGCGACGATGTCGTCGCCGTCCATCTCGCCGTTCGCGAGGATCATCCCGGTGCCGCCGGCGTTGAGGACGGTCATGCCCTTCGTCACCCTTGGGATGTCGCCGCCACGCACGCACACCACGATCTTGTTCTTCACCTTCTCCGGGTCAAGCGTGCCTGGTGGGCAAGTCGACCTGAAAAACCATACAGATTTTTTTGCCATGATTTTGACACGAATCAGTTCAATTCGATCTCATATCATCTCACACAAATTAGAAAGAAAATTTCACGTGTTCAAAGGATGGTACGTACGCGACGGCGGGGTCAGAGCTCGCGAGCGCGGCGTCGCTGGCTTTGATCATCGAGTAGAGCTGGGTAGAGTGCAAGGTCGTCGTCTCCAAGCTCATCCCCTGCGACGCACGCAGCATTGGGAGAGACAAGCTTGCACCGTGAGCCATGTCGTCCCAAGTGTTCGTCCATGGATATAGCTATAGTTAACAATGGCGTGGGACGAGGTGATCATTACCGTCATGTGCGCGTTGTTGCCGAGCGTGACGACGTTGGGGAAGTCCCGGTCGACGGTGCTGGCGGCGACGGTGGTGACCCACGGCGCGGCGTTGACGACGGTGTCCTCGAGGGGCCCGGAGTTGCCGGCGGAGCAGACGACGGAGACGCCATTCATGGCGGCGTGGAGGGAGCCGAGCGTGACGGGCTCCTGGAGGAAGGAGGCGACGGTGGCGACCGGCGCGTCCTGGCCGAAGGAGACGGAGATGACGTCGGCGCCGTCGTGGATGGCGGCCTCGAACCCCGCCAGCACGTCGGCGGCGGCGCACTCGCCGGACCAGCACACCTTGTAGGCCGCGACGCGCGCCCGCGGCGCGCCGCCCTTGGCCGTGCCGTTGGCGTAGCCGAAGAGGCTGGCCCTGGGCACGAAGCGGCCGCCGGCGGTGGACAGCGTGTGCGTGCCGTGCCCCTCCGTGTCGCGCGACCAGTTGCCGTCCACCGCGCCCGGGTTGCTCAACAGCATGTCCTTGTTGAAGTACCTGGCGCCGATCAGCTTCCTGCAAAATCTCACATGAACGAATCCACCGGCGGATGCAGGAATTTTATAGTGTCATGATAAATTTAAATTCGACAAGTGTTTATTGTAAAAACACTATCCCCTGATCGGTATGACTAACTGCTTATAGTCAAAAATGCTCTCTTTAATATAATCTATCGGGTTTTAATATTTCACTTACGATACATTTTTTAGCTCGATTTTTCATCCATAGAATCTTTGATCAAGATTCGGGTTCCTGTAGACTAAACTTGTAGTTACACTCAGTTATAGAGCACCTACACTTGATTATAGAACAATAATACTCGGTTACAATGCAAAAGAAAAAGATTTTACAACTGTTTTTCCCCTAGATTTAAGATATTTTGACATGCTTCTTCCTCTCTCTCTCTTTTTTATTTTCATTTTAAACAGGTTGTATTTATTGGTTGAAAATTCTGTAAGATTTGAAACTCCAAATCTGTCTTTATTGTATATGATGAACTATTAATGAGGTGGGTAAAGAAAAAAAAATTCTGCAATTCAAAGACGGCCGAGAAATGGAGCCACTCACTTGTTGCAGGAGACACCGTACTTGGCGGTGTCAGAGCAGGAGCCCTTCCAGCGCTTGGGCACCTCGCCGACCACTTCCTCGTCGGTGAAGCTGTTGGACTCCGGCCACACACCTTGATTCGATCACCATTAACGGCAGAGATTAATTAGTAATCAACCATGGGAGCTCGAGGAACCCAAAAACGCATCAAAATTAAGATGGCAATAAGCCTGTGTATTTGCTCTCTTTGAGAGAATTTTGTAATAGGTGACTGTAGTTTATTTGAAGCAAAGGTCGAAAGTTTTATTCTATTATTTAAAAAATAAATAAATAAATAAAGATAGCGATGCGTACCGCTGTCGAGGTTGGCGATGATGACGTCCTGGCCGAACCTGCCGTGCTTCCAGATGGAGTCCGGGAGGATCTGGCCGTCCCTCTCCATGTCCATGAAGTCCCATGACCTCGTCGTGTGCAGCTTCAGCATCGTGCTCGCCATCACCGTCACCACGTCAGGGTGCCCTGCAACTCCAAACATTTTCGTTGATGTGCCATCGAATTTGTCCTATGTATTCTACTCATCGGTTCTTGATCAATTTAGATGTTCTCTTCTTACTCGCGATCTGGGTTGCTACCTCCTCCTCCAGATGCGCCGCGAAGCCGTTGATGTTCTTGGTGTAGGAGTAGAGTATCGCGTCCTTGGCCAATTGCTTACTGCGTGCGTCCGTGCATTAGTCCAACATTTTATTTTTGCTTACTGCGTGCGTCCGTGCATTAGTCCAACATTTTATTTTTGTTTCCATCAATCAAGAACAGAAAGAAGAATCATAGAAACACAGTCTGTAATAGCGATTATCACCAATCTAGGTGAGTGAGTTTATTACCTGCCAAGAACTGATCCTAGAAGGTCGTGGTGAGACTGCGTCGCACGGGCGTGCTCCTCCGCCGACGCATCTGGGCCGTACGGGTGTGATCCCAGATACACGATGTAGGGCTGCGCCCAAACATTGTGGCCATAATAACAACAACAACAACAACAACAACAAAAAAAAAGAAAAAAAAAAGAAAAAAAAGCATCAGAAAGGATCACACCCAGTTTGTTTCACTGAATCGAAATGACACAAGAAATTCATCAGAAATTATAGAGTAGATGAATGAATTCTGTGTGGTTTTGTGCTTGCCTTCTTGAATGCTTGGGCGGAGGAGGCGAGGCACAGGAGGGCGGCGGCGAGGAACAGCCTACTGCTCGCCATGGATGATGAGGATGATCACTCGTCGTCGTCTTGATCGATCTCCAGTGAGTGTGACTGAGTGGTATAAATAAGCTTGGTGATCCAGGATTTTTTTTTTTTGTTCGTTTCGTTTTGCTTGCAGGGACGGTTTCTCAAGTCCTAAATTTGGCTAACCTTGACCGCGAAAAATAGTCCAGATCACCGGAGGAACGCTTCAACACCGGGCCCGGCTGAGCATCTGGCCGGGCAGAGTACTTTCCTCGATTTTTTTTCCTGTTGGTTTTTCACATTTTTTACTTCCTCTGTTTTTTTAATATAAATAAATAACATGTTGACTTTTTTCCTATCACTTTTGTCTAACAATATTTATTAATTACTAGTTAAGGCAAGTGAAAACAACATTGGATATATGTCCAAATTGATAAAATCTAACCGGCGCGCACGCACGAATTAATCTTACGGCGAGACGCATACAATAGCCTCCGACAATGTGAGTAATACATGTATACTGTCTATTTAAATTTTTTTGATGGCTTATATATTTCAAACATATATTTTTAAGATCCGTTTTAACCATTGAACTCCATTCAAAATAATGATAAAATAAGAAAAAATAGAGAGAATTAAAATAATTAGAGAGGTCATTGTTCAAGAAAAATTGTAAACAAGAAGAATCAGTAGTAAACCTAACAAGATGAATCATTGTTCTGCGGTGATATCGGCATTGCAGCGACAACTCTTCGGTGAGATAAGCTACAACGGCTTGGCGAAAGTTTTGGTCTGTAATGACGAAAACTTGGCAGCGGAGGTCCTCTGATGAGATAAGCTTTGGCCGCTCGGCGGAGGTGGGCGATGGGGCAACAGGGTGTCGTTTGCATTTTGGGGTGTTGGTTGTCGTGTGATGTGGTGTCAGTGTAGCAACGACGACTTTTGGCGAGATAAGCTATGGCACTATGGCAGCTCGACGAAGATGGTTCTCTACAGCGACGACGGCATGGTAGCGATAGTAGTTAGCACCGCAGATGAGTAGGTTGTTCAGGCAGCATGAGACCCTTGCTTGGCAACTACAAGGTGATTAGACTAGAATGAAGAAGCTTTTATGGTGGTTGCAGTGACAGCAGGGGGGTGTGGAAGGGCGGGCTAGCTCCGCATCTACTTTCTAGTGTTTTCTTTTCGGTTGTTCTTTTTCATGTTTCTCAATCATGGGTTTTAGAGTGTATGCACTTGTGTAAACAACCTTTGGCTGTGTATATCCACTTTAGATATAGAGGCTGGATTTTATCCATTATCTAAAAAAAAACCTAACAATGGATCAGACACATCCTGCACCGCAGCAGTAAAGGTTGCCACAGTAAAGGTTGCCAGTTAGTGTTAATATATTTCGACGCTTTGCAATTAAGAGCTTTGTTTTTTCGCTTATGCTCATACTTATCATCCAAAATTTAAATTTTCAACCTTAAATCTGATTTTACAGTTTTTTCATCAAAGTTTATTTTTCAGCTTTTGCTTTTAGATCACTAAGAAGACCTTATATAAATATTTTATTCACAAATTACTTTTTATTTGTAAATATATCGTTTCACGATGGGGCCATAAAAAGGAAAAAGATGCTCAATCTTCAGAATGCAATGCCATAATCGAGCAGTCAATTAGCCAACGTCCGCTAAAACCAGAAGGCCCAATGACTCCAACGTCAGTTTTCAACACCAATAATCTATCCTAAAGAATCAATATGAAAAAAAAAATCCATATCCATAGATGGCACATCCCTTTTGTCTAAAAGATTCTGTCCTAAAAGAACAATTGAAAAAAAAAATCCAAATCCTGTAGATGGCACATCTCTTTGTCTAAAAGATGGGGGGCACAAGGGATAATGAAAATTTTGTAGCAACAAAGATTTACTCCAAAAGATAAAAGGTCTTCAAAGGTGAAGATATCTATTCAAGAATAGAAAGCACAGTTAATAAGTGCAGTTCAAAGCTTTTCTCAGTTCAAAATCTATCACAGGTTGACAAATAGGGATTTGTCAAAGGATGTAAACAAACAATCTAGTAATAAACAGCTATATGTATAATATGGGAATATGTTGATATTCCCACTCCATTGCAGCATAAAAGTAGGCCACTCCACGGCATCAGAATTCAGAGCACGAAGTTCCTATTCCCATTCCACTGTCGCAGGTGGCTTTTGCGTGATGTCCTGGACAACACGGTTAACACCTCGCACATTGTTGCAGATCTTGTTGACCACATCTACCAGGAACTCACGCTCAAAATAATACCTGAGAAAAGAGTTCACAGGGCAAAGTTATCACATAAGAAAACATGCAAGATTTCAAAAGATTCACACACACAACACAAAACAAATGTATTTCTGTAGGTTCGAACTATCAGCAGACCTAAGCAATAATTGCACACCAAGAAATAGGCATACAGGACAAGCACCAGAGACAAATATAAAATTAATGAACACCCTAAATTTGTATTTGTCAAATAATTTAAAAATATTTCAAAGATAACCAAGACTTCTTGTTTGCTATACGGCTGATAAACCAAGACTCTCGTTGTTTGCTCTACGGCTGATAAACCGATGAAAAATGAAGCAGCAAATTATTAACATAAATGATCAAGAAGGCAATAGGCAAGGGTATAAAGGTGAATGCTGAACTATCATCTCATCATTCAAACTACTGGAAGGTGGGCATGATTCAATTCACAAGTATCCTATTGTGAACTGTGCAATGTATATAACATATCTGTCGAACCACAAGAAACTGCTGCAAAATGGCACAACGAAGGCTGCGACAATCAACAAATTGCAAGTGGGTGTAAGAGCCAGAACGTCAGTGTTACATACCAATCTGCAGTCATGCCATCCTCACTAGTAATTGCCCTCAAAGCAACTGCATTGGAGTGAGTTCTCTGGTCACCCTGAACTCCCACTGTTTGTACAGGCAAAAACACAGCAAATGCTTGCCAAATTATATCATAGAGACCTGCATCTTTAATGGCTTGAACAAATATTTCATCAACCTGACAAATAAATGACAATGCGAATTAACATCATATACCAAAGCTGATGTAGTGATTTTTCAACAGTTTGAAAGGCTTCAAACCTGACGAAGAACCTCCAAAGCATTGCCTTCTGTAACATCACCTAGGACACGTACAGCAAGACCAGGCCCAGGAAATGGGTGTCGCTTCAAGAATGACTCTGGGACATTTAAAATACTCCCCAACTTCCGTACCTTTTGGAATAGAAAAATATGTTTGAAATTTACTTATCAGAATCTTTCCATCAAAATGTAATTTATGTAAATTTTATTGCACAAGATCATGCAAAGGATAAAAATGGAGAGATATTATGTAAATAAATTTCAATGAGACCTCATCCTTAAATAAGAGCTTGAGTGGTTCAATTAGCTTTAACTTCATATCTTTTGGAAGACCACCAACATTGTGATGGCTTTTGATGGTATGAGAATGTGTCCTTCCGCTTCCAGGAGGTGGGCATGATTCAATCACATCAGGGTACAGTGTCCCTTGAACTAAATATCCAGGTCTTTTTCCTATCTTCTGTTCTAATTTGTGAGCAAAATCATCAAAAACTGCTATGAATTCCCTTCCAATTATCTTTCTCTTCATTTCTGGATCTTTGACACCCTTTAGCTTGCTAAGAAATTGCTCAGATGCATCAACACATGTGACGGGAAGGTGCAAGTCACTTTCAAAGGTTAACATTACCCGTTCCCTCTCATTGTATCTGTACAAGGGGTCTTATGTCAGTTCCATTGCATACTGATTCTGAAAATGTTATCACTAAATAACATAATGAAACAAGGACTACCTTAATAGGCCATTGTCAACAAAAACACAGTGAAGTCTATCCCCTATTGCCTTGTGAACCAGAGTGGCAGCAACAGTTGAATCAACTCCACCAGATAAAGCACAAATCACATGTTCATCAGGCCCAACCATGCTTTGGATTGTCCTAATTTCTTCATCCAGCACATCTTGCATCTTCCAATCAGCTTTTATCCCACAAACATCAAAAAGGAAGCGCCGCAGTGTTTCCATTCCTTGGGGTGAATGTGTCACCTTGTATAATGAAAAGAATGAATAGTTCGTCATAACCATGCTTCGGTGTAAACAGTTTAAATTAATACTTCGTCATAACCATGCTTTGGTGTAAACAGTTTAACAACATGTTTGCCATGCATGCATGCCAACTACAAAAGAACCAAATTGAGTGCATAATAATAAATCCCAATCAAGTGAACACACAATCAACAGTATGCTAAGCCCCAAACACAAATTTATTTTACTCTGTGCAGAAAACATCAGCACCATATACAGCAGTTGCATTATAAAACTTAGCACAAGATCTAGATAAGCAGAAAGCATCCAGGTTAATTCAGGAAATACGAAACAAAGCAAAATTTAAAGTTGTAGCGCAATCACAGTCGTTCTAAAGTTGCAGTTTTTCATATTGTGGAACTAACAACCTTCCTTACACCAAAGGATACCCAGCTATTTCACTTTTTCATATTATGGCCCCAAAAGATACCCAGCTATTTCACCTTTTCATATTGTGGAAGTTTAGATATAACTGACTATTTTCCTTCCCCAAAGGATACCCAGCTATTTCAGGAAAAGAAGACCCACTATCCAAAAGGTCAAAACAAAAATTGACCTTCAAAACTAAATAATAATCAATCGTCAATAACCAATCAGTTTCCCACAAAATTTACATCTTATATGCTCCACAAAATGCACATTTCAACAAAGAGAACTAATAATTGCAATTGAATTTGTTGGTTAATCTAGACAACATCGACCGAAATACAAAATGCACATTTCAACAAAGATAATTTTCCGAGAAAGAGTGATAAATGCAATTGAATTTGCTGGTTAATTTAGATAACATCAATCCAAATACAAAATGCACATTTCAACAAAGAGATGATATTCCAAGAACGACTAATAAATGCAATTGAATTTGTTGATTGATTTAGATAACACCAATTGAAAAATGTGTGTAAGAATCGTAACGGTCGCTACCTCAGGGTGATACTGAAGCCCATAGAAGCGCTTCTCACGGTTCTCGACGGCAGCGACGGCACCCTGCACGCTGCGCGCCACCACCTCGAACCCCTCCGGCAGCCTCACCACCTCATCCCCGTGGCTCATCCACACCGTCTGGCGCTTCCCGACCTCCCCCTCCCCGTACAGCGCCGAGGAGCGGGCGGTTACCTCCACCTCCATCTTCCCGTACTCCTGCTTCTCGCCGGCCTCGACGGCGCCGCCGAGGGACTGCACGAGGAGCTGCATCCCGTAGCAGACGCCGAGGACGTGGGCGCCCGCGCCGGCGGCGAACTCGAGGAACCCCTCGGGGAACGTGGGCGCCCCCGAGGCGTGTACGGAGTGGGGCCCCCCGGAGAGGACGACGGCGCGGGGGCGGAGGCCCGCGAGCGAGGCGAGCGGCGCCGTGCCGGAGACGCAGAGGGAGAGGACCCCCAGCTGGCGGACGCGGCGGGTGATGAGGTGGGTGTACTGCGAGCCGAAGTCGAGGATGAGGACCAGGTTCTCGCCGAAGCCGGCGGAGGCCGGGAGCGAGGAAGCGGAGGCGGAGCCCATGGCGGCGGCGGCGGCGGCGGCGGCGGGAGGGAGGGGATTAGGGTTTTTGAGGGTGTCTGGGGTTTAAGGTGGGGAGTTACCCACGGGATCCTGGGTTTCACGGGTATTTATCAAGGGTGTGGCTAGCTGACAGGTGGGACCCAGGATGGAAGCGGTTGAGATATGGAGCGTCTGCGACACGTCTCTCTCTTGTTGGTTCGTTTTCTCAGAATCTGCATTCCAAATTGTTTCAAAATTCCATAGTCTCATTATTTGGAACAAAGGACTAAAAATACATAAACAGAAAAAAAATACGAGAGCACAAAATAAATGACTATGGAATTGAAAACATACAAATTTTGAAACATGATTAATTAAGTATATTAGAAAAAAACGGTGTGAAGGATTTTGTTTTCCTTCAGCTTTTGTTGGTTGTGAAATTGGAGGAATGGGAACCATTCTAAAAGATTATAACATTTTTGTTGGTGCCAAACAACTTGTAGGAAAAAATTAAAGTGACTCCTTTGAAACGTGTGATAGGAAAACCGTAGAAATTAAAGTAACATGTTTCTCTAATCCTACATGAATAGAAAACACGGGAAAGCTCAAGAAGGTCCCTTTAATACCATCATAGGAAATAAACAAAGCAAATTATAGTTCCCGAGAGGTTGGATTTCTTGGCTTATTTCCCTATGAAATTGAGCCATATGAAGGTCTTATGAAATTTTTTTAATCCTTTTCCTATGAATCAAAAGCTTTCCATGGGAAAATTTTCTTTGGAAATTGAATCCTCCAATTCAATGGGGCTCCAAAATTCCTAAGGGATGGTTTAGTGCATATAAATTTTGAAGAAAAGTTAGCAAGAGCTCTAACCTTTTGAAAATTTTCACTTCTAGTCCACCTCTCTCATTTGATTTTTGCATTTTTCATGAAATCTAATCAAACAATCACTCATAGATTTTTTTTTTCTTTTGCAATCTTTTTTTTTGCACTTGCATTCATGTCATCCACTGTTTTACACTTACATTCCTATCAAAGTCATCATATATTCTTACCATTCCTCCATTTTCTCCACCCTACGTCTCGAAGAGCCTACTAGGAATCCTATTGGGTTTTGTTGAAAATATTGTTTGTTCCAATGGATTTCCTAGTCATGCATAGCAAAAAGATCATTTTGTGCCCACCTCACACACATGTACCATATCAGATTTGGTTTGTTAATGCTATGTCTTTTCATGCTCTCTAATTTTGTATTCCTAACCTTGCCCTAGCACTCTTGTACTTTGTTTTGGTGATCATATGAGGAAAGTTGTGCCATTGGTTATCATACCCTTACACAAAGTAGTACTCATAACTTGTTGGTGCACAAAATCGTTTCGCCTGTCAACATGGCGAAAAGACTTATTCCAACAGTCACCCAATTGTATTGACACGCGAACTTACTTACACATAAATATGTTGTTGTCAAATCATCATGTTGTACCACTCTTTCATCCTCCTTGTCTTAGTGTAAGTGAGCCTCGAGTCACATTCTTCCTCCTTGGCATGCCGCCCATACCCCTCTCCCTACTCCCCTATGAGCTCAAAGTACCTTTCTTCCTCCTTACTAACAAGCCCCTAGGCCTAATCCCCGTGACATCGATGAGGCCTTGCACCTCTTTCTTCCTCAGACCTGGCCACAAGCTGACCTCATCCCTGGATTGAAAGTTTTTTATTATTTGAGATAAAAGTTTGTTCATTTGGGCAAAATGTTTGATGTCATGAGTGAAACTTTAGGAGACTTGAGTTGAGAGTGAAAAGTTATAAGTAAAAGTTTTGAATGGGTTAAAATTGGATGAATTATGATTCAAACGTTTTGACGATAAAGTTTTTGAGATTGCCGTTGAAAGTTTTAGATCATAAAGTTTTTGCTATTCAAATTGAAAGTTTGAATAGAAAGTATCAACTTGAAAGTTACTGAACATAAAGGTTTTATATTTCAAATTGAAAACTTCGATTAAAAACTTTGAAGACTTCATATTGAATATTTTTAAAATTGGATTGGAAGATTACTGCATTGGTGCTTAGCAGCTGCTTAAGCTTATAACCATCCCTGATTAATTGTTCTTGCAACCAGTTGAGCACTCATGAAAAGGTGCTTGCATTGGAGAAAAGGAAGCTTATAAAGATGCTTTATTATTTAGAAATACTCTACCCTTTAAGCACCTCTAGTTGCTGTGGAAGAGGAACTTGACTGTGAGGCCTTTGATGTAATTCCTTGATCTGATTTGAGGAACGCAACCAACGTTTGACCTGGCATTAAGCTAGGAGTAATAAAAGAGGCCTGATGCAACTCCGAATTGACATGGGCACATGGCTGCCATTTCTTGTACCTGTATTTTTGTGAACGAGGGAACAGCAAAACATGGCGTTTTTATGACATTCTCATATAGCACAATATAATGGATGTCAGGCATTGAGATTGCACAAAAACCCTAATGTATATCCAGTGGACAAAGCTAGTCAAACAAAACAATTTCTCGTGATTCCACCAGTATGAATTTCAGCGGTTTCATGAGGTATCTTTAAGACCACAGCAATACCATAGCCTCATATACCCCCTACAAAAGAAATATATTCGCCCCAAATCAAAATGGTGGTACCAAAGAATGGCAGAATCAGGTTGCAACAACATCTACCATCTTCATTTCAATCTAGAGAAAGCTTTTGGCCACCTTAGCATGAAGATCGGAAGTTGCAGAATTGGACAGCACAATCCCAAGAACAAGCTAGTGATCATGTACATCTAACAGTGTCCCCCCTTTCCTACATCTAGAAGCCACCAATTGACGAAGCTACTTCACAAGGACATGGGAAGTGTGCCCAAGGGAGCTGTTTAAAGTCGACTCTCGACAACCAAAATCACAAATAAACCCCAATCTGAAGGAACCCAATTACCAAGAACGCCAAGATCCACAATCCAAAGCGCCTCCGAGAACAGTCACCTGAAGAATAGATTGTAGATGTTCTACTGTCATCTATACCAACAAGAAAGCGGCAGTCACCGATGGATGGGTCAAGGTAAGTGATCATGCCAAGTCCATCGAAATCACAGCTCTGGGCGTCCTGTTTCCGCAGCTGATAGTAGCTGTTGAAAGCATATGAGATGTTGCCCTTCTCCCCAATAGCATTGCATGAGCCACCATAGTAGAGGGTGGTGCAATCAGCCATAGTACAAGCAAGCTTTAGGTGATTCTCGACATTGTTAAGATCTCGACCAGGGTTCGCAACACACCACCGTGGAGGAAGATATGGCACATCTTTGGCGTTTTTCAGAACTGGACTGCCCAATCCAAGATTCAGAGGGTACTTGGCTTGTCCATCAAATGAGAAAACTCCCCAGTGTCGCTCGAAATTGCCAGGTAATGTGCTCTTCTGCTCTTCATCAAGAAGGCTGAAAAGATATACATCCATCGGAGGCACCCCAGGACGTAGAGGAGTTCCTTTGTTGCTTAAAACATGACTGATCAGGCCTTGGGTGAATGCCCTTGCTGCAGTCAGGTTTGCACTTGGTGCCCCTTCAGTTGGCCAACCCACCTCGCCAATCGCAATTGGTAGCTGCCCATAGCCAATCTTGCTCAAAGCAGAAACTAATGTGTCAAAATTGCCATCGAAAGCATTGTAGTACACATTAGGGCCATCCACAACTGGGTGACTAGATCCATCAAAGAAGGCATAATCTTGTGGGAAATCAGAGCTCTGGTAAAGGCTGAGGAATGGATAGATATTGACCACGAAAGGAGCACCACTTGAGCTAAGAAAAGCAGCGAGCTGGGTAATAATCTGAATCAGATCAGGTCTGAACACTCCCTGTGATGGAACAGATGCACTCTGATATGCATCAGCATTGCATGGGACAACTAGTTTGATGTACCTTGCAAGATTAGCTTTCACCAATGATTGCTGAATATTGGTCATTGCTGGAAGAACATATGACTGGAATTGCCCCTGATAGCTTGTCAGGAATGGCTCATTTCCCACAGCAATGTACCTGTTTAAATTAGGGACAAGTATAAGAAAATGAATAAAGTAAAGTCATAAACAAATTTAGCAGAGGAAGAAAGTAAGCAACATAACAGATTTCAGAGAAAAGAAAGAAAATTCTCAAGCAAGTAAAAACAGCTCGAATAGACATCCATAGGAATATAGGTACAACAAAAAAAAATTAAGCACATAAATTAACTTCCCAGCAAATATTCTGAAATAAAGGATTCTCTAGCCTGTAATTTAACCCATACTCAACATTAGTATTTTTTTTTAGAAAAGCATGCATTTTATGTTGCTTTCCACTCGGTTCACACTTCACAGTCCTACCAGGCTGACCACCTTAAATGAAAACAAAAATTATGTTCCATGATCACAACAATCCATTCTATGTCATTGGTTTACAATATACCACCGACAAAGCTTAATTCTACAATATACCATCAAACAATTCGTTTTCTTCCTTATATACCATCACCGTTAGTCAAACGCCGTTAAGGGAAGGAAAATGACAATTTTACCCCTAGGATAAAATTGAGATTTTGCACAATGCCATATCACATCAAATAGTCTTACATGATAAAAAGACATGCTGTTTCTATTTTTCATCAATGAGAAAAAATAGTGGATCATGACCAATAAAATCCACATGTAGCATGATATCCTAGGTGTAAAATAGATATTTTCTCTCCCTTAACGGAGTTTGACTAATGGTTGACTAGTGGCGATGACATATAAGAAAGAAAACAAGTTGTTGGATGGTATATTATTGAACTAAGTTTTGTCAGTGGCATATTGTAAAATTCATGCTTTGACGATGGCATAGAATGGATTATCTCATGATCAAATCATTTGATCGTTGCTGGGATGACCCATTTGGTTACTCCGATTAAAACTTCATGAAATAGAGAAACAGTACATATTCAATAGTTCATCTATTCAATACCTACAAAAGAAATTGTTTCAACAAAAATGTAGTCATGTAAATGCAGCCAACTGCTGTGTGTTCTGAAATTGAGCAAACAAATGCAGGCATGTCCACAGAAAACAACAAAAACATAAACAGTACCCAAGTCCCTCTCTCATCCCTAGCAGCCGTGCCGCTCAGCTATCCTCCCAGCGGTGTTTACCCCCTATGCAACCCATAACAAACATAGTAGAAGATTAATCATGCCAAATGATCGGGTTAGAACATATAAGCTTGACTCAGCAACTGTCCAATTCGAGAGACAAGTGACAACAAGTGATGCAACGGTAAGCCCTTGCCAGTTACCAGATATAGAGAGTAAGAGAGTAGTAAGAACCACTTTCCTGTTTATATGTCAGATAAATATGTTTATTTCCTTTCCTTGCTTTAATATTTGGTATTTGGAAATTATTTGCTTCCTCTCACCAGCTTTGCAGTGATGTTTGCACCAAAAGCTTTTGTACACTAGCACATCTATGTGACTGAATTAGACAGAGTATGGGTGTAAAGCTTTTGCTAGATTGCTATCATGGCTAAGGTCGGCAGGAAAAGCTATGTCATACAACTTATTTTCTCTCATTTTCCTTCTTTTGACATGGAAAGAATGTCTGCTACCCACAATCTTTCTTTATCCATTTTCCTGTTCTGAATGCCAGCACCTTTTTGTGTGGGTAGCATGTTAACACTAATACAGTATGACTTAAAAATACAATATAGATGACCACAAACAAATAAAGTGCAGGGCCATTCAAGCTCAAAGGCTACTTTAGATACCCCTATTTCCTAGGATATGAACAAAAAATGGATAAGTGTTAGCACCAACAAATGTTGAGTTCTATTCCAGTGTATACTCCATCAGATAGAGGAATAGTGGAATATACAACTATTGACATCCGGTGGATTGCATGGAAAAGCTAAATTTGACATCCCAAAGCAGTAGAAAATTAAACGCTAAATTGGACTCATGATGTGCAGATATATTCTGGCATCTAACACGTGCATCAATGAATGAAATCTAGCAGATGGAAAAAGACACTGTCTCTTGAAACACATTTTACTATGCTTTGCAAGGATAATTATCACATTTTAATCCTTGAGGAATCCTGTATATTGAAATGTTCTAAAAAGTAACAGAAATAACTTCAAACATAGTAGCACTTGCTTAACAAAAATAAGGCTGGTGGCTATACATTGCTTTGGGCTTTTGGCATGTCAATACTGTATTTTCAATGATCGTTCAGAATTTTGACAGAGCTTTTGTTTGCCAAATGATATCTAGAAATCACCATACACATGGTATATTTTCAGGATGTGTATCATAGAAAATTACCATCTTTGCATGCCTTGTGTTCTACTCTGACAAGTAGAAGCTTCATAGTGACTAAAAGATACAGAACAGAAGGTACCAAGTGTTATTTATGTTTTTATTAATGCCAACTCTCAGAGCAGAACAAAAACATCTTGACGTGCATTTAAGTTTTGTAAGAAAATCGTGTCTTGTTTTATGTGCCTGAAAATAAATTGAAAACGCAGGTAACTTCATAATCTACATAATGACAAGGACGTGTATTGCACAAAGCAAAATTTCAGTTCAACCATTAAACTGAAACCACAGACACAAAGGCGACTACAACAGAATCACAGGGTCCATTAAGTCAAGTTCATCATAAATAACAGTGCAATTGTGTGGTCCAAGTCCGACACAAATATGTACTGGCGCAATTGTCCATAAAAGGCAATCGGGTCTGCATTGCACTTGCACTAACTAAATTCAACTTGAATCAGTATAAGGAGCATTACACTAGACTGCATCCCCTGACAATCTATAAACAAACTTCCAGTCATCAAGAGAAAGATACACCTTAAATTAATATAATAACCCCAGATCAATCAACATAAGAGAAGAGAACGAACAGTGACCTTCCGAAAAAGAAAACAAGCAGAGGCACTTAACACTGTTCCGAGTCAGTAGACTAGCAATATCTCATTGACTAGGCAAGTAGGCATTAACACAAACACAGTGCCAGCAAGAATCCAACAAACACAATACAGCAAGATGTAGGTATGCAAGAACGCAGAGATTCTTCCATTGCAGCGAGAGACTCAAGGAAAAAAGGAATCCATTTTTTTCCCAAATTACAGGAGGGAGCGCGGCGGGGACTCACCGTATGTCGGCGCCGCCGGGGCCGACGTAGCGCGACACGTTCCGCGCGACCCAGGCGTCGGCGGCGGCGGGGGAGGCGGCGATGCCCTGGAGCATCTCGTTGGTGATCCCGACCATGACCTGCAGGCCGCTGCCCATGAGCGCGCGGAGGGCGGCCTGGTCGGCGTCGAAGAGCTTGACCCTGCCGATGCGGTTGGCGCGCATGAGCTCCACCACGACGGGCGCCGGCATGCGGTGCGCCGACACGGTGCCCCAGTTCACCCCGACCGCCGCCGCCGCCGCCCGCGGCGCGCATGGCACCATCATCACCAGCACCGCCGCCAAGAACGCCGCCACGAAGCGCACCATGGCGCCGGCGTTGGCCGCCGCCATTGTGGTGGGGTGAACCCGAATGGAGGGATCCTTAGGCGCTTCTTGCAGGGGCCTCCTCCATGGAGGGACAGTGTAAGGAGGAGGAGAGAGTGGAAGGAGCACTAGTAGTAGTGATGCTCGCTTTGGTAGAGAATTGCAAAGGGAGAGGTGATGGCTGATGAGGAGGTGGAAGCCATGGAGAGCAAAAAAGGAAAAGAAAAAAAAAAGAAGGTAAAAGAAAAGGATGGGGTGGTGGTGAGCTTGTCGCCGAGCGAGCGCAAGTTTGAAGTCAAAAAAGAGGAGAGAGCTCCTGCTCTGCTGGCAGCTGATGTGGTCAAGGTGGTCGGGCTGCTCGACTGCTCGCGTTCTGTTCTGCGTCGCCGATTGGGGACAGGAGACTGGGGGCTTGGCGCTGCGATTCCGGCCGACGCCATGTTTGATGCGGCCGCCGTTGGAGTTGCCTAGTGGGCTGGACTAACAGAACAGGCCCAAGTGATTTTTCGGCCTCGTCTTTTTTTTTATACTTATACTTATCAGCCACAATTTAAATTTATAATCTTAAAGTTTATTGTTGATTTTAGGGTTTTTTTCATCGAAGTTTATTTTTTAACATTTGTTTTTAGATTGCTAAGAACATGTATATAAAAATTATATTCACAAATTATTTTTCATTTGTAAATATGTCGTTTCGCTTATTCCCCGAATAACAATGGGGCCGTTTACTTCCACATTGGGAGTGTTTAGGGGGAAAAAAGTACATATCAGGTCCCTCATCTTGTCATCGGATTACAAAACCACGAGATATATGTCATCTATCAACTAACAAAACTAGGTTACTTTGGGTCTTTAGGCAGTTTTAACCCTGGTTATTTCCGACGTGGCAACTGAGTCAACGTGGGCCCCACATGTCAGGGTGGCCATGTCATCACCCTCTCTTTCCCCTCTTCTCTCCCTTCCTCCTCTCTCTCACTCTTTTCTAGGTAGGCCGGCCAGCAGGTGAGGTGGAGGTCAGCGGAGTGAGGCGGGAGAGGATGAGGGCGTCGGCGCCAGTGATGGGTAACACAGTGTTGTAGAGGCCACAGGCGCGGAGGAGGTGGGGCCAGGAAGGCCGGCAACAACCTCCTCACTGGCCGCGACGTCGCCATCAACTCCTTCCCCAACCCTCGCCATGGCCTCCACGGCGGCGAGGATCTCCACCCCACGCCCATCGATTGGGAGGTGGCCATTCTCCCCCGGCGAAGGTGGACATCTACTCCTGCACTGTCTCCTCCCTCTCCTTCCAAGCAGAATTTTAAAGGAATAAGTCTATTTTGCCCCCCTTCTCAACTCATGTCCCTGGTAGAAGAATCACACATCCCTCAACCGCAAAACAGGGTATAACCCCCTAATTCCCAAAACCGATGAAAATCAACTCCCCGAACGGTTTCGGAGGCAATTTTGTCCCACGTGGCATCTTTGACTTGTAGACTAGCTGAGTCAGCTTGTGGGACCCACATGTCAGTGACAAGAATAAAATGAAAAATTGTGAGGCCCACTATCAGTGGCCACCATCGTCGACGCGTTCCCTATGCAACCCTTCCTCCTCCGCTTCTCTCCCTAAATCGGACCAACTAAAACACACTCCTCTCCTCCCCTGCAATCCCCTCCCCCCGGCCGTTGCCATGCCTAGGGATGACGCCAATGGTAGCAGCGCCAACCTCCACCCCACGTGCCAAAACCCTAGCAGCACCCCTCAGCAGCAGCACCCCCCTAGGCGCCATGGGAAACCCCAACCTAGGGCTCACCCTTGCCTCCTCTGATCACATGGCTGCACCACTGCCTCCTCCTTCCCGCATCTAGCCAAGCTGCGCCACGTGGCGCCCGCCTACTCCTCCCGCTCCCGCCAGCAGCCACCGGCGTCACTCACTACGGCGTCATGGAATCCGTTTGGCTGCGGCGACAGCGGTATAGACGACATAGGATAGGATGGGATCGGGGAGATTGGGCCGAGCGGTGTTGGTGTTGGCACCAACGGCGACTTCGTGTTTGGCGGTGCCGCTCCCACTATGAGTCAGCAGCCTCTAGTGGCGTCATTCTATGGAGAACTCCTCTTCATGTTCGGGAGCATGAGGGACAGCTTGCCTCGGTTCGGGGAAGGATGGCGATGAGCGTGAGCGTCATCCAATTTGCTGCCGTTTGTCGGTGAAATGGGAATCGGGGTCCTCATTTATCCGGAAAAAGGATCATTATCAAATAAATAGCATGCTCAGAATGTATTTAAAAATAAAAAGGTAACCCTAGGGTGACGTAGCTAGGAACCCCTTCCGAAAGGCCCTGGGCCCACCTAAGATTTCATATATGGGATTCTCTCTGGCTGAGGAGGGATCCTATGTATATGTCTCAAAACTCTGTGTATAGAAGTAACTTGGGGCCTGGCTTGGGTCACAAAAATGCCCCTCCTCTGCCTTAAGGTCAGCCTCGGGCCCGGCTCTGTCCTGGGCCCCGGGCTCACCCTAGCCCTTGAAGGTTCTACGGTCCTCGGCAAGAAAGGCATAGAAACATGCAAGACCTATATATTAAGAGGATAAGCTAAGGTCTGCCTCAGGTCCGGTCTAGTCCTAGGCCTCGGACTCACCTTAGTCCTTGTATAGTTCGCGTTCCTCTGCTTAGAGGGGCGTCAAAATATATAAGACGGATAATCTTGAGATATTCTTCCATCAACGATACCTTCAAGAAGCTCATCCAAGAATAATCAACCTTCTTTAAGCACGGGAGGGCGTTACCTCATAAACTTCCAGGAAGTTGGGCATGCTCCACATCCAGCTTGGAGGTAGCACGCCTCATCATAAGTGAAATAGCTTTATGGGGGGAGTCTGAGTTGAAAGGAAGTGGACAAGACGCCAACGCTGAGTCACTTTGGACGGTGGCGCCTGGGACACGCGTCGCACATGCCCCGTGCCACTTGATTTAACCAAACGGGCAAAGAAGCAAGCGTGGCGCTATTTCAGGCAGATCGGGCCTCGTTGGGCCCACCACGCACCACGTGGTGAGCACATTGGCGAATGCCCAACTATCTCAGACAGAGCCTGGGAGCCCGGGGTAATATGAATCGTAAGACTTGAAGGGTTTCTTGAGGACTGCGTTAGGGAACCAGCTGGCAGTGACAAGACGGCTGATGAGACAACACTAAGAGTAGATTTGTAATAATTTAAGCCCCTCCTTGGACTATAAAAGGAAGGGGACTAGATACGAATGAAGGGTTGGATTCTCTTAGGTGAGTACTATCGCTTTGTAGCCTGAAAAGGTCTCCTTTGTACTTGAAAGGACCTTAATGTCGCCTAGAGGGGGGGTGAATAGGCGTTCCTAAAAATTAACACAACTTCGTAGCATATTAGAATGATGAGAACTTTTGGTTCAAATAGGAACTTCCGATATGAGATTGGAAGTTCCGGTCTCAATCAAAAAGTTCGGCGGATAAAGGAATAAAACACTATCTATGAACTTGTAGCTCAAATAAACAAAATGTATATGAATCAAAAGGTGACAAATAAGGTATCTAAATAAGATATAAGGTCACCAACTAAATCAATTAAGCATGCAAGTAGATCGGGTAAAAACAAGCTCAAGCACAATATGAGAGAATGCACAAATGGGCAAACAAAGAGAGGAGACGCGTGATTTGTTTCCTGAAGTTTGGATCCACGGATCCTACGTCTCCGTTGAGGAGCCACAAGGGCCGGGCCTATTTCAACCCTTTCCTCACGAGGTTGCACAAATGCACTCCTCGGTTTTACTTTTGATTTCTTCCCTTGCGGAGGCGAAATCGAAGCCTTCACAAACTTTCCGTGGCACACCACAGCCTTGGGTGCTCACCGGCGACGCCTAGCCGTCTAGGAGACCTTAGTCCCCAAAAGTAATAAACACAATCGAAGAATTGCTTGCTATGAACTCGAGTGCTCAAAGTATGGAGTGAAACTCACTAGCTCTCAACTTCTCAATCACTCAATCCAACTCTTTCCCCTTCTCAAATCCCTCTCACAAAGAGGCACCACAAAGGATGGAGTGAAGCTCACTAGCTCTCAACTCCTCACTCTCTCAATCCAACTCTCTCCCCTTCTCAAATCCCCCTCACAAAGAGGCACCACAAAGGTAGGGAAATAGGGATGGCTATTTGGCTTTGGATGTGTCTAATACTCCCCAAGAGCAGCAGCCACTCAAAGGAGGGGTGGAGGAGTTTATATACCCGAGCCCCTCAAAAACTAGCCGTTGGAGGCCAAGACTGTAATTTTCGGAGTTTCCGAAAAGCATTTTCGGACAAGTCCGAAAACTTATAGAAGCAAATCTCAGATTCGCAGCCATTTTCGGAATGTCCAAAAATTTTCGGAGTTGTCCAAAAAATTATCGGAGTTTCCGGTAATTTTTCGGACTTTCCGAAAAGCACAGAGTAAAACGACTATAACTTTTCGCTCGGGAGTCCTTTTTGATGAACTTGGACTCTATGGAAAGCTCACTCAGAGGACTACCCAACTCAACCAAAAACAAGGTCTAAAACCACTCAAAGGATAGGTTAAAGCTTGGGTTTCTCTCAAGGTAGCACTATGATAGGTCACTTTGAGCACCGAGACATACACAAACACCTCGACGTTGCATCCCTCTTAATAGTACGGCATTCCTAAACTCAAATGTAAATAAGAAGAGAACTATACCATTAGGAATGCCTTTTTTTTTATCTTTCTTTCATTGTCTTGAGGGACGCCAATGCCGATACCGTTTCACCATATATTCTTCAAATGATTGATGCGGTTACTTGTAGCTTTAAATGGTCTCGCACGGTCCATCATGACAAAGCCGTCACTCGCCCTTCACCACCGGATTTGGTTCTTCGGCGCCAAGCCCCTTGCTTGCCCTTCACCGCCGCATGGTCCATCGCGACCGAGCATCGCTTGCCCTTCACCGTCTTGCCATAATAGCCACTTTGTATCACACATCTTCAATATCTTCACTTTGTCATTCTTGGTATTGTTAGATGTAATGATATCACTTGAGCATCAACACCTTTGTAATCCTTGGGACCTATTTCTTTCATTCAACTCAATAAAATTATTAGTCCCAATGATCCGGTTGTCAACCTACACATGTTGACCAACCGATCGCATGTATAAAAGGATATGAATAAATGATGAGTATTAATCAACACCACAAGTGTCATATACTCAAATATATGTTCAAGTGTAAAGATCTCAATTAAATGAAGGTGAATAATTTGAATCGATTACATGCATAA